AAATGCAGTATGGTGGGGGTTTCCTTTATGGGGGGGGGGCTTTGGAATTTATGGCTTCGCAGTTTATAGATTCTGTTTTTTAAGCTAAAATGAATCTTCCCAGAAACTGTAAATTTGCTCAAGTTTATTTTTTACAAAACAAAAAACAGAATCTGTCTTTCCTGAACACAAATCAACTGATGATGGAGGGACAAGAGGCCGTATCTTCAAGAAGTGACTGGGTTGCAGAAAGAGGCCTGGAAGCCGGGGAGTACCGTCAAGGAGTCTGCCAGCCTGTGTGAAGACTGGCTGCACTGACAGGACCCTGGAGCAGAGGAGAGGGGCTGGAGAAAGTAACCAGGAGAGTTTGGGGCGGACTTGGAGAGGAGATGGTAGAGGTGCTGAAGAAAGTGATGTCATGATTCAAGAAAAAGATGGATGACCGTGTGTGTGTGTGTGTATGTGTGTGTGTGTGTGTGTGTGTGTGTGTGTGTATGTGTATGTGTGGTGTTGGATAACAGGGTCTCACTGTACAGCTCAGGCTGATTTCAGACTTACAGCTCTCTTGCCTCCTGCTCGCAAGCACTGAGAACACAGGTTGACACCACCATGTCCTGTCATCTTCCCAATTTTGACTCTGAACATTCAGCAATCTGGGAAATCCCCCAGGCCAAAGAAAACCTGGATGGTTGGTCATAGTCCCAGAGGTGAAGAGCAGAGAAAACAGAGAAAGAGGTACTCACCAAGGCAAAGGCAGACAAGGCTACGCCCTATACTACACCGGAAGAAGAGGGAACAATCCTCGAGGACTCAGGCCCTGTCGTTGGTGCCCTGCCCATTGCAGACCACTCCCGGAGAAGCAGCCATGGGCCCTCCTCCAGCCTGCCCAGGCTCCTGCAGCCCCGTCGTGGAGTGCCTACCTCCTTCTTCTAGAAATGTGCCGTGTTCTGAGTCTGCTGGCACAATCGCTGGGCTCGCATCCTAGCTCTACTTGTAGGTGCTCTGGGGGCTTGCGTGACTTTCTGCTGCTGCTCGGAGCGTAGATCTTTGTAGTGGCTTTGGCAATTATGGGCTGTGTGTCCAGCAGGTCTTCCCACCCCTCTTTTCCTGCTTTTTTAGAGAGCCCCTGTCCTATAACACGTAATCTTGGTGGAACTGTCAGTCATTGTGCCGTCTCCTCCAAGGCCCCAGGGATGGGTGTGTGTCCCAGACTGGGCTAGCTAAAGTATCATGTCCTCCAGACACTATGATTTGTTCAGTGGAGGGTGTGAGCTCAAACCCTGGGCTTCTCTGCTGAGTCTAGGAGGGAAGATTGTTTCTGACTTTTTAGAATCAACGAAGACAAAGCTTGGGAATGTTGCCTGCCCTGCCATCTTTCCAGAAAGGCAAAGAAACCTTTGCTGGGGGAAAGGAGACCAGAATAAAGATGAAAGAAGACATAAAAGAAAGAAGGGGCATTTGTTTGAGACTCTTGATCCTGCAGCTAGTCCAGTGTTATCTTTCTTACATGAGGATTTTTATGTTGCTTTTCTGCTTCTTTCAGTGGGTATTGAATTTCTATACTTTGCAACGGGAAAACTCTTCACCTCTGTAACATCTTTATCTACAAAAAATGAACCAAACTCCTTCTAGGGCTATTGGAAGGGTGAATGAGGTCATTGTTGCAAGCAGATTTCAAAAGAGAAAAAACTACGTACAGCCATCATATGTGGCTGGTGGGAACACAAAATGGCACAGAGAACGTGGAAACAGTTTGGGAGTCCCTCAAGCCATCAAACATAAAATTACTCTGTGACTCAGCAGCGCATCCCTTAATAACAGGGACACGCTGACAGCAGTGAATGCTGGGCCTTGTCGCTTCTGTACCAGCTTCACAAAGCAGCCTTACACAAATCCGATAGCATGGTCGATTACACGGCCCGATTTTGTGGTACCAACTAAGCCTGATTCGCTGTCACACTGTGTGGCTGTGTGTTACCCAGAGAAGTGAAGATGTCTGTTCAGATGAAAACTTGCACCCAGACGTCTGTAGCAGCGTTACTCACCATAAGCCAGAGTGAAAACAGCCCAGAGAGCATCACCTTCGGAATGCATAAACACTGCGGTTTCACCCTCCAGTGGAATGCCGCTCATGACAAAAAAGACACTGCTCTGTCATGCATGAATGTTGGAGACATTACTGAATGGGAGAAGCCAGACACAGAGGCCACATTCTGGATGATTCCATTTACATGAAATGTCCAGAACATGCAGATCCACAGAGACAGAAAGGTTAGTGGCTGCCGGAACTGCGGTGAGGGAACTCGTGGCTCACGGGTGCAGGGTGCCTTTGGGGGCTGGTGACAGCATTATGAAATTAGTGGTCACGGTGACACAACCCTGTGACTATTCAAATATGGTTCAACTATATGGTGGAATACATGATGTATTTCAATCAAAATTACAGATGAAGCCAGGCGCTGTCCACGTAGAGTTGACAGGCGCTGCTTATCAAGTCAAAGCCCAGCCCATTGAGACTCTCATCCAGTTCTCTGAGTTCCACCTGGTGAATTTCTCACATCTCCACCGCTGACTTGTGTGACACGACTAATTCTTAGCTGTGGCGATGGCTCGGTCTGCAAAGTGTCTGCTGCACAAGCATGAGGACCTAGTTCAGCTCCCCAGCGGCAGCATAAAGGCTGGGGTGGCGGAGCATCCACAACCCCAGCACCTAAAGGGCAGAGGCAGGAGCATCCTGGGAGCTGGCTAGCCAGCCAGCCTAGCTTGGTGAGTTCCAGATTCCAAGAGAGATCTTATCTCAAAAACTTTGGTGGAGGGCGTCTGGAAAAATGGCTCAGCAGTTCAGAGTGCATGCTGCTCTTCCCGAGGACAGGAGTTCAGTTCTCAGCATCCTTGCCAGGTGGCTCACAACCGTGGGTGACCATCCTCAGAGGCTCCATGCCTCCAGCCTCCATGAGCACCTGCTCTCACATGCACAAACCCACAGAGAGACACAGACACATAATTTTTAAAAACTATTTATTGGTTCCTTGTGAATTTCACATCATGCAACCCGACCCCACTCATTCCCCTCCCTTCATACTCTCTACCCTTGAGCCTCCCTCCTCCTCAACAGAGAAAAAAAATTTCACTGTGGAAACTGTAGTGTGTCACAGTGTGTCCACAGCATACCCTTGGCCCACAGCTTTTTGGTTGCAAATGTGCATTGCAATGAGTCGTTGGTCTGATCCGAGGCCTCTGGCTTCTGCTAGACTGTCAGTACTGCAATCTGGTTGGGACCCCTCTCAGATATCTTCTTGTTGCCCTGAGTCATGAAGATTCAGTAGTCTTGGGTCTGTATGACTGGCCCCTTCACACAGTCCAGCAGTTCATCAATGGGGTAGATGTTGAGGCGGATCAACCCAAAGCCCTGGATCTGGGCCTGAGAAGTATCTGAGCTGGTCAGCCTGCCAGATCTCCCTCCCCACACACCACTGGGGTAAGCCCTTCAGCACAGCCCCAGATGACCCATCCAGTACCACAGCCAGCAAGGGATGGGGCCAGTTCCTCCACTCTCATGCCATCAGGGCTAGCTCATCCGCACCCACATCGTTAGGGTGAGTTCTACTGTGCAGCCAAGGAAAGGTGCAGGGTCCACTCTCCCAAGTGCTGTAGCAGGTGAAGAGCAGGGACAGCTCTCCTGCTTTCATGACTTCAGGGCCAGCTCTCCCTTCTCTAGGTGCTTGTAGGTGGTAAGGGCTGGGGGAGGTGCATCTCTCCCTCACCTACACTGCTGCATGGCAGACAAGTTGTGGGGCCAGCTCTCCCATGCTCACACCCTCAGGGCCAGCTCTACTATGCTGTCCAGGTGAGGTGTAGGGCTCACTCTCCTGAGCATTGCAGTAAGGGAGGGACAGGGCCAGCTCTCCTGCTCTGCTGACCTCAGAGCCAGCTCTCCTGCCTGCCGTATGTGACAAGAGGAGAGGGACGAGGGGGCATCTCTCCCTCACCCATGTCAGCACATGAGAAGACAAGCAGTGATGCCAGCTCTCAAATGTTCACACCCTTGGGGTCGCCCACCAGGTGAGGCTTTACTGTGCTGTCCAGGCGAGGTGCGGGGCCCACTCTCCCAAGTGCTGCATCTGGTGAGGGGCAGGATTGGCTCTCCTGCACTTGTGACCCCAGGGCCGGGTCTCCCACGTGCTGCAGGTGGGGAGGGGAAATGGAAGAAAGGTATCTCTCCCTCATCCACACCATCACATGGGAGAAGAATGGCAGCTCTCCCACATTCACACCCACCTCCCGCTCACCTCCCACAACCAGGGCCAGGACTGCTGTGCTTCCTGGGTGATGTGTGGGCAGCTTTCCAGAGTACTGCAGTTGGCAAGGTCAGCTCTCCTGCTCTCACACTCCCAGGGCCAGCTTTTCTGTGCTTCCCATCAAGGGGTGGGGCCAGTCCTGCACAGGCCTCAGACATTAACATGTCCCTGGGCATGGGATGCCAGGGATGTTTGGCTGCTGCAAGGTCATGAGCCCACAAGTGGCCAAGACCCCACCATGGTCTCCGATGGCATCACCAGCTACTCACGTCTGGCTGTTCCTCACTACCCTCGAGTCTCCAGCTGTTCTGCCTCTCTTCATTGTGCCCACGTCCTTCTGTTCTCTTTCTCTTCCATTTCTCTGCCATTTACTTGCTCCTCTTGGTGGTGTGGGGTCTGTAAGTGTCCAGGCTGGTCTCAGGAATCCTATGTCTCACCTGTGCATTGTGGCACCAGGCAGGGGTCATCTCAGGCATGGTCCCCCTCACCAGTGCCCAAATGGTGGTCATTTCTGGCTAGCTCCCTGTCTGGGTCCCCTGGCCCCAGACTAATGGTCATCTCAGCTCGCTCCTCACTCCCGCCCAGGTGGGGGTTGTCTGTCCTGGGCCCACAGTTCCAGGCAGAGTTCATCTTGTCTCTGGATCACTCCTCACCCCAGGAGCCTGTTTGGGCCTGCATGACACCTCCAGATTGGTGGTCATCTCAGGCTCACTGTTTTCAGGAAATGTCAGGCTACTCATCTTTCAGAGGTTCACAGATCAGAACAGAGTATGGACACGGCCTCTCTCCCCTCTGCCACCTACTGAGGCACACATGACACAGCGGCCACACCTGGAACGCTTCTGAGGGAAGGCCCTCATAAATTTTTTTAAAATAACAAAATAAAACAGAGATAGATCAAGGAAGATTCTCAAAGTTGCCTCTGGCTCCACATGTGCCTGTGCATGTACAAATATGTGCGCACATGTGCACAAATATGGTGTCGTGGTGAGGGGTGATGGCTGCCGCCCTGTGGCAGAGCACTTGTCTGGCCTGCCTGAGACCCTGCGTTCCGTTCCCAGTGCCACAAAGCAAACTGAAAAGACCGTGAAACAAGATTTAATAAAGTTCACCTAAACATTGAATCAGACACCGCAGGGTCAGATTGTTGCCAGCAAGCACCCAGTATTTCCCTGTGAGGCCAACCAGGGTCAGCCTCATCCCCAGGTGGCTCCTGCTCCCTCCAGCCCTCACTGCCCCACCCTTGTCCTAGCCTGCCAGGTGACGTAGAGGGAGAAAAGAGGCCAAGAGAGAAGTTGGTTCTTTTGATCGATGGGCTCTTTGAGAACAGCAAGAGAGCCTGTCCCTTTATCATGCTTGTCTTTTCTGAAACCCAGCGCTGAGGGTGAGAAAACAGACACACTGCTTCCAGCCTAAGACCTGTGTCTCCTCTTCTCCCTTCCTCCCTTCTTCTCTCACCTTTTTTTGCTTTTTTATCTACCCTCCTCTTTCCTCTCTTCTCCTCTTTTTCCTCTCTTTCTCCCTCCTCCTTCCCTCCCTCTCCTTCTGTCTCTCTCTACTCCTCCAGGATGAAACAGCTTCCTCAGCCTTTGTAAATGGTGGACCGTCTCAGCTTACCCTCAAGGATCCTCCCTAAATGTCCACTCTTCTGGGAAGCCCTTCCCATCTCTCCCCGACATCTTTCCTCTCAGCTCCTACACATCCTTTGTACTCACCCATCTATCTATTCATCCATCCACTGACCTCCTCTGCTCCTGAAGACAAGGGGTTAAGTGTCCTTACAAACCAAGATTTGAGAGAGAGTGTGAGAGAGAAGTAACAGATGCATCAATAGCCATTTGGTTTTTCCTGTGAAGCACAGTGACGACAAGAGGAGAAAGAGATGAACACCTGTCTGCAGATCTGTATGTGGCCTTGGGAAGGTTCTCCTGAGAAAACAGTGAGTTTTAGTTTCCCTCACACACTGGCTAATGAGCTGGCTCCCTCTGCTCCTCTCCTGCTGGGAAGGCCAGCCACCACACCCACAGATTGTGGCCCAAAACCTTATTGAAAGCTTAGGCAATAAATATGCATTGAAGTTAACTGTCCATGATTGCCATGAGTGGGAGTGGTGCCTGGATTGCAAAGAGAAGCTTCGTGAATGCTCAGACGTGGCCCCTGGTCCTACCGGCCGCTTTGGAATTGTTCAGGTGTGGAGGCTGGACGGTAGAAGCTGGAGGCAGTCTGCATTTATTCCAGGGTCCCAAGAAACTCTGTGGCCTTGAGATGTTAAGCCCCAGGAAACCGGGAGACTCCAGTGTGTCAAAATGAATGTTAGTAGAGGAGGAGATCCATTGAACTTGTCCAAAGGAGATCTGACGCAGAGTGGCCCTGGGTCAGCTCAGGTTCCCCTATGGTCTATACGCGGCGCTTTCCCCTAGAAAACAGACACTTTATCTCCCTTTTCCTGGGCAGACACTGGTTTGGTTGGGGATGGCGGAGAGGCAGGTGCCGCGCTGGCGAGGAGGCTGGCTCTCAGGAGCAGTCGTCTATTATGACTCTGAGGTTAGATGGGGCTTGGATGGGGGTGAGAGAGATGGAGAGGGCGTGGGGGCAGCAGCCTGCCGCCGGCCCAGGTGGCAGAGGGGCCGAGACTGGCCGGGAGCCAGGCCCGCCGCGGCGTCCGCGCCCCTCCCCGCCGCCGAGCCCTCCCACTTCCTCTGCGCCGCTGTCCGGGAGCCGGAGCAGCGCAGGCTCCCGACGCCGGCCGCGCGGACCGAGGCTGCCGCTCTAGCCCCGCCAGCACCGGACACCGCGCCGCGCTGCGGGCCATGGACCTGCCCAGGGGTCTCCTGGTGGCCTGGACCCTCAGCCTCTGGCCAGGTACGCGTCCCCTCCCTCCCGTTGCTTCCGGGAGCCCCTCCTAGTCCTCCAGGACCTTCGCTCCAGCGGTGTGGAGAGAGATGCGACGCACCTCCCTTGGCAGCACTTGGGGACACAGGTCTGCCGGGCCCGGCTGAGGTTGACCGGTCCCGCCAAGATAGCCAAAGAGGGAGGTGTGCCTGGGAAACTCTTTCCAGGACTTTGGTGTGTTTGGGGAGGAGAAGAAGGGACTAGGGTTGCTGGGACCGCTGAGCACTTCGGGTGTCCCCGATGCTGCTCTGGGGACAAGTTCCCACGTGGCCACCCGGCCACCCGGACATCCCTCCCTTGTCCTAGCTGAGGAAGGGGACAGATCGGGCCAGCGAGTGTGACCCTGCTGCCCTCCCGCCACCCCAGGCGGAGCGTCCTGAAGCCGGGAGGGCCAGACCGTGGCGGCCCTAGGAGGCCCCGGTCCCTTCGGTCTGGCTGCTTGGCGTTGGCAGCCCCTCCAGCTCCTCCACAGGCAGTGGGCACAGCCCCCCAGCCCAGCTCCGGTGGGAGAGCGACTTGACACCAGCGTAGGGTCCGGCAGCGTCCCCAGCTCGCGCTCGGAATCACGTATCCGGGAACCCGGGGGAGCCGCCGCCGTCGCCCCGCGCCCCGCTAATGCGCTCCAGGTGTGGGCACGCAGCGGGAGCCCCGGGCCCGCGGGGAGGGGAGAAAGGCAAGCTCGGGGGCTCGCAGGCTGGACCCCCAGCCCTGCCTCCCGCAGCCGGCGCTCGGCCCCCAGCTCTGCCTCCCGCTGCCCAGCACGGCTGCGGCCGGCCCTCGCCGCTGCGCGCCTGCCCAAAGCTTCCCGGCCCCTTCCCGGCGCGGCGGGACGCTCGGGGCCGGCTGGAGGACCCAGCCGGCCGGGCACCGGCAGCGGCTTGGTGCGCTTGTGAGTGGCTCTGGATCCAGTAGGAGGGGACAGAGGCGGTGACAGCTGGGCAGGTGCCCTGAGGTAGAGCACGCGGAGACCCACCCCTACCCAGTCGGGTTCGCGCTCCAAGCAGTGGTTGGACGGTCCAGACGGGGGCACACGTGTGCCCTCGTGTCCTTCGCGGCTTCTGGGATCGCCTGCAGATGAAGGGCCTCTTGAAACTAGCTGGGTTTCCTTCTGATCGCAGACACAGTTGGAAACAAACTCTCCCGCGTGAAGCCTGGGGCTTGGGGGAGGGGCGGGGGAACACTGCCAGCTTCGCTTCTGGAAAAACCGGGGACAGAAGCCTGCGGGGGACACTTGGGCAGGGAAGGAACTGTCTGCGCTCACTACAGGCCCAGCCATAGCAAGGAGATGAAAATCCCTGGGGGGCTCCAGACAGGTGTCCCCAGAAAACAGGGCAGTCTGAGCATCCCCAAGCTAAAAGCAGGAGTTCGGAGGGGGCTCTGCGCAGAGACCTTGTGGCTTTTCCTCTCCTGGGGACACTGGAGGCAGAATTCTGAGCTGGTGGAAGCCGTCCGGAGGGCTGCGGCTTGATGCTTGCTAGTGCTGGTGACACTGCAGGGAGTGGGGCCCTGCGGGACGGGGTGCTGAGGGACTCTCAGGACACGGCCTGTGACTCATCGCTCCCTTTATACGAAGAAAACCGCTTCTGCGCTCTGTCTGGTCAGCCTGGGCTTTTGGAATATGGGACTCATTAAACCTATCAGTCGGCATTAGACGGCCTCGGCTTGCAGGAAGAACGTAGAGATCACGTGCCCGCTGGGCCCTGCTGGGGCTCAGGGGAGCAAGAACTAAGAGACAAACAGACTTGTGCGGGACTGACCGGAGCAGAGGCATTAGGGCCAGGTATGTGTTGGAACAGGAGAGATTCAATGTCGAGCAGACAAGCAAGGGAGGCTCCCTGGAGGAGGAATTGGATCCCTTAAAAAGCGTAGTGAGTGAGCTTAAAATGACACCACTCATATTTCAAAGAACAAAAGGGTCACAATTTGTGTGTAGGTGCTCAAGTGTGTGTGTGTTTGTGTGTTTGTGTGTATCTGTGTGTATGTGTGTATGTGTGTATTTGTGTGTGTCTGTGTGTGTGTCTGTGTGTCTGTATGTGTGTTTGTGTGTGTGTCTGTGTATTTGTGTTTGTGTGTGTGTGTGTATGTGTGTGTGTTTGCATGTGTGTGTGTTTGTGTATATGTGTGTGTGTTTGCATGTGTGTGTGAATGTGTGTGTGTTTGTGTGTATGTGTGTGTTTGGGTGTGTGTGTTTATTTGTGTGTATATGCCGATGAGTGTGGAGGCCTTAGAACACCTTCAAGTGTTATTCCTGGCACCGTGCAGCACTGCCCACAATTCTGAGACTGTCCCTCACTGACACTGGACTTTCCAAGTCGGCCCGGCTCTCTGATGAGCCCCAGAGCCCTGCCCGTCTCCACGCCCCAGCACTGGGGTGACAAATGCATGCCACAGTGCCAGTTTTCATTTAAAGCGTAAAGGTGCCTGACTAGTCTGACCTCTGTGTGCTGGAAGGGTTTGGGGATCTCTGGGTCACTTCCTGACCCTAGTGCAGGATGACTTTGGTCTCTCACCTGTGAATTATACGGGTCTGAGGGAAGACACAAACAAGACAAATCAGGAAGTGTGACGATGAAGACCCCAGAGTCTCAGTGTCTGGAATTGACCGGGCTCTGCAGTTAGGCCAAACTGCCCCTATCTAATTCCTACCTGTGCCTCAGTTTCTCCTCTACAAGATAGGGCGAGTAACAGAACATGTAAAGTATTACAAAGACCAAGTAAGCAAGTTTCGTAGAGTTTGGCGAGTGCCACCATATTAAACCGTCTTGTCTCTGGCAGCCACACAGTGGGTCAAGGCTCTGCTCTTAAGTAAGGCTCAAAGGGTGCTCGGAGAAATCTAGGGAAGTATACTGGAGGCTCAGAGACATGTGTGCCAGGACCCTGAGTAAACCAAGACTCCCCTACTTCTCCCAGCAAGGGCCTGGCCCTACCTTGTGGTCCCCAAACTGAAGGACTTAATATTTG